CATGAAACTCATCATTATCAAATTCGTAGTCTAATGATTGACAACCTATGACAGAAACATGCAAGTGACGAAATATGGTAATCCTCTCTGTTGTTGATAGGGTCCCGTCATAGCTATACCTCTGATTTTGCAAATTTCGTTATATTCAATATATTTGATGTACTGATGCATGGGTATACTGACCTTGAGAAGCATCCTAAAAATGCATATTAGATTGTAACTAATTCCTCGGTGATGACACCGAAAGGGCAAAGTATAATATCATTAGTTTATCAATGCGCATCGTATACAAGCGGATCACATCTCGAAAGGGCATCATTAGAACATTAGTACTTCATCAATGCATATTATAGATTGTAGGCGCACAACAATTTGTTGAAGAGTCGATTCTGTGTTTTCCCCGAAAGCGAAATATAAGCTCGGTATCCAACTACATTTGGTGAAGGAAGCCGAGCTTGAAGTAACTTTTAAAAGAGCGGACCCGACATTGTACAATCATGGGATGGAATTTGGCAAGGTGATTACTGAGATACAAGGAGTGTGTGGTCAAAGTGCCACAAGCATCCACTCACAAATGTAACACAGTTTCTTTTTGAGCTTAAATTGACAAGAATCAAAGAATTACATTGTTGCCAGTACCTTGGTGCAAATGCATTGCTTGACCATGAGTGCGCCATTCAACTCGCCATTTGTCGAACATATTCGTGGCTTAAAAAGGACGCTTTCCAACATCTTGAGGAGTACAAATCCATGGCGAACACAAAGCCTATTGGATTAGGAACCAAGATTGGATTATGAATTAGAAGGGGCTCGGGAAGGAGAGGGAAGAACTCGCAGTGGCGGAGCACAAAGATCCAGTGAGGTCGTGAGGGCACATTGCAAGAAGACGGAGGTGGGGCCGGCGAGTGCGGCTCCAAGCAACTTGGCGAGGACCGCCGCCGCGCAGCCTGGGTCAGGGCTTCGAGCTCGACTCCGGGTAGCCTGGCGAGGGCTGCCGTCGTGCGGCCTGGGGTAGGGCGTCGAGTGCAGCTCCGCGTGGCCTAGCGAGGGCCACCGCCGTGCGTCCTAGAGCAGGGCGTCGAGGGTGGTGAGTCCTGCCGTCCTGGGGCCTAGCGAATCGTGCGTCCCGCGAGTCCTGCCGTCCTGTGGCCCCGCGGTCCTGGCCCCCGCATGCCTCCACGTCTCGCGATGTCTCGAAAGCGCGTCGCAGCCACATGCCTCTCGCGCGACACTGCGTGACCTTGCGCTGTCTGCGGCGTGCGTGCTGTCAGACGCTGGCCCTCATGGCTCGCCCGCCCTGCGTGACCAGAACAACAATGCGTGGAGGCGCTGCCGCTTGTCGCGACGCCGACGACGGCGGGCGATAGTAGCCTCCCATGCTGCCGCGGCCGAAGACGACGACGCCTCCCCGGAGGCCGACAACTGCCCCGCGCTGCGGCTTCCTCCTCCCCTCCGCGAAGGGCGTGGGCGTGTACAGGCACCGCGGCTTCCTCCTTCTCTCCACGAAGGTTTTGAATGCGTTTTTTTTTATTCGGTGATGATTGGCTTCGAGCGTTAAATCACAGTCACGCGTGGGTCGCGGCGTGCGGCGTGCGAGGAGGGTGCGGGGATGAGAAGCCTGGCATCCCACATCTAATCGTGGTCATCGGATTTGATTTATGTGTCTTATTAGCCCTTGATTTTAATATAGATAAATTACTATGTGCATTTTCCTAGGTGCACAATGGTCGAAGACTCTCAGCGGAAGACTTTTTCTTAGGGGACTTAGTACAATTTTGATTTATCCATTGCAGTAGAGATGAACCAAACTACCAGAAGTGACGGTACTGCCCTCGACCATCAAGGTCTCGACCAACCCAGACGCACCCACCTCCGCCACCGTTTTCCCCTCCCCATCTCGCCCGCCGTCCTCGCCCTTCTCGATCTCCTCGCCCCTCGCGCCCGCACCTCTCCCCTTCGCTTTCACCAAGGTGAGCTTCCGATTCTCCACCCTAAACTCTGGCCTCTTCCCGTCAGATCCGTAGCCTCCCCACCCCGTGCGTCCAGATCTGGTTCCTTTCGGTTTGACTCGGTTTTTCCCTTCCTGTGCGGGGTGTCGTAGGGTTTAGGACCGGCGGCGATGGCGGCGAAGCTGGCGCAGCTGCGCGCGCAGGCGGCTCTTGCGGCGGAGTTCGCCTCGAAGCACGGCGGCGCCTACTACAAGGAGGTCATGGAGAAGAACAAGCAGTACGTCGTTCAGCCCCCCACCGTCGAGAAGTGCCAGGAGCTCTCCAAGCAGCTCTTCTACACCCGCCTCGCAAGGTGAAACCGCCTCCCTCTTTTGATGTTGCGTCTCGTTGCGATTAGCCAATTGGGTTCTCTTGCCTGAAATGCTGCACGATCTGTTCGTGCGCGCAGTTAACAGTAACGGCCTAACGGGGTTTGTTCAGATCGCTTGTTCGATGGGTATAGTGTTGTGCGGTTAATGTTTGTCTCCTGTGATTGGCTACTATTGCAGTCACCTTGTTAAAGCTGAACATAGTATGGATGTATGATATGACTTGCTTATGGCCAGTATCAGCTATGAGGATAATGTGCTGTAATTGGCTACTATTGCAGTCACCTTGTTAAAGCTGAACATAGTATGGATGTATGATATGACTTGCTTATGGCCAGTATCAGCTATGAGGATAATGTGGTTATTTTTTGGTGGTGTACCTGAGCATTTGTAGGTAGCACAGCATATTTATGCTCTTCAGTCTTCAACTTTCAAGGGCAGTCCTTGGCTTACCCTCTTGGCTAACATGGTTCTTTGTGGCTTCATTGTTTATGACTTAACACTTAATATGTATTTCGTCTTGTGGTTTGTAGCAATAGGAAATGTGATAAATCTCCCATCTATTTGTAATGTTTTTGTTTCTTATATCATGATATGCAATCGAATGTTTCATCTCCTCTTTCAATATTATACCTGAAGGGCGAGCCTGGTGCAAGCGGTAGTCTTACCGCCTGTGACCGGAAGGTCCCGGGTTCGAGTCGCGGTCTCATCAAGATTGCAGCACAAAGCGAGGTAAGGCTTGCCCATCGACACCTTTCCCTCAGACCCGCACAGCGGGAGCTCTGCACTGGTACGCGCCTTTTTTTCAATATTATACCTACCAGTTCCTGAATTTAAGTTTGGTTTGGTGGATTAAACACAATTTTGAAGTTTCATAGCAAAATAAACCTATACATCAATGCTTGTATGCTCGATTATCCATGTTTGTTCCTTGTATTTTTTTTTCCTGCAATTTCCTGAGATCCATCTTACGTGGAGACATAGATAGATGCATAGAGCGCTGTGCATGGCTGTTAGGGAAAACCATGAAAGTTCGATCAATTAACACCCTGGTGTGGACTCTCTTGTGGTGTTGAGGTGTCATGGCAGTACCGCAAGAAGAATTTGCTGTATGGTTCTAGAAATGAATCTTTATAATATCACTGTGGCCGAAAACTATGCATGTATGAAAGAGTAGATTCTTTGCATATAAACACTGATAACTTGATTGGTTATTGGCAAATGTGATTGCATTCTTGTTTCTTTTGGATGTTGGTTGATTGACAAGGGGAAAATGCTGTGCACATAGTCTGATTTTCTGGTGTATAAAAGTTTATGTATAACATCTTTAGCATCAGGTGTTGACATGGGTGGAAATATAAAGTTGTTTCAAAGCTGTTTCAAGGGAGATAGAGAGGGGGTAGGTTTTATACTTGTGTTATCCAAACAGCTTACAGTTTTACAGCACATAACTCACAACAACTTTTCCACAGCTCATATGCTAAACCAAACAGACCCATAGTGTATATCTAGATGCATAGCAAAAGCTATGTCCTAAAAAAGCCAAAACAACTTACAATTTGGAATAGAGGGAGTAGCTTGGAGGTATTTTGAAATTGACCATAATAAATAGAAATGGCTTGACAAAAATTTAAATATCAAGGAGCTGCAATTAATACATCATTGTTTGTCTAAATGCAAGTGGCCTGTTGAAACTTAATAAAAGCATTAGGAACAGCAATTAGACGCAATATGTAACTTGTGCCATTCAGGAGTTTACTTTTCATTGTTTCTAACCATTGTTGTGTTTGTTCAGCCTACCAGGTCGCTATGAGGCATTCTGGAAGGAGCTTGATAGCGTCAAGCAGGTATGGAAGAACAGGAAAGACCTCAAGGTTGAGGACCTTGGGATTGCGACTTTATTTGGAGTTGAGCTTTATGCATGGTTCTGCGTAGGAGAGATTGTTGGCAGAGGTTTCACCTTAACCGGCTATAAGGTCTAGATGATTTCCACTGGTTAAGACCTGCTTTACAATCGACACTTTTAGCTGATGCTTGTCGAAACGACGATGATACCTGCCTTCCTTCACAATTTTGTTTCTTGTAAGAGTTTATCTAGTGCTGAATGCCAGCAAAGACGGGCACATCATTGCAACATTGCCTCAATAATTTGCTCGCTCAATTGTTGATTTTGGTGCATGTAATTCTTTGTTGGTTGCATCTGCTGCAGTCCCCTGTGTGCGGACTGATTTGTGTCTTTCTTTCTGGCCTCAAAATAAATTCCTTGTGTTCCATATATGAATGTTTTGGATGAACAGAACAACTAGTTGCTGAATTTGTGAACCGATGGAACATTAGAGTGATCGATTCTGTCGAAGTAGTCAACTTGTCTTTGTGATTTTAACCTTTATCGATTACTGGTCCTACCGTAAGATATCGTTGAAATAATATCGTCTCTTTTGTGCTTTCAGAAGAGTATTATTTAGAACACATATTTTGGAGGTTGTTTTACAATGAACAAGTAACCTGTGTTCTGAGTTCCTGCTTTATTCCGAAATAGTTAGTACATACGCTACCCAGTGGCCCATCTACTTGAGAGAAGAGAATTAGCGGAGCTAATGAGCTACGCGGACAAGAACATGCTTCGAGCCAAACTCTAGACAGTTTCAGTTGTAGAGAGCAGCACGATGAAGGTGGTAAAGTTTCAATTGTAGAGCAGGACGATGAGGGTGGTGAAGCTGCTGCTGGCGAGCACGAGCATCCACGCCCTGCTGCTCCTTGCGTGCTCCTCCGCGTCGGGTTCCTCCCTGCTGCCCTTGCCGGCCAAGAGGCAGAGCATGCGGTCGCACGCCAGCTTGAAGAGCGCCAGGCACGCGAAGAAGAGGCTGATGGACAGCACCGCCAGCTCCTTGTTCTGCAGCGTTTCCTGCACGCCCCGCATCTCCTCGACGCTCCACCTGCACATCCAACAGCAAATCCAATCAGTGCCTGGCGACCGGATGAACAGATCCACTGGTCGCCGCGGGGAAATGGCACTTGCCTCATCTCCTGGTTCTCCTTGATCAGGTCGTCCAGCTTGCTGGAGACGGTCGATTTCCAGGCCTTGAGCTCGTCCACGTCCTTGGCCTGAACAAATTCCTCCGAGTCACTAGCAGTCAAATAGACTCACTGCATTCAGAGCCCTGTTCTACGGCATTCATACCACGCTGTCCTTCCAGTCGACGAGGTCGTGCGTCGGCCTTCATCTTCTCCAGCGCCATGGCCGTCTGCGAGAGCCCGTTCTGCAGGTCCGGCAGCTTGGCGCCGTACCGCTGGTTCAGCTCCCTCGTGTACTCCTCCAGCGTCGACAGGCTCAGCTCCAGCGACCGCATCTTTTGCATCAGGATCTTTAGCACGCCGTCGCTGTGGATCCGCCCCGTCGACGACCCCGGCGCCGCCACCTGCGGGGGCTTGGCCTCCTTTCCCTGCGGCGGCAGCTTCGCGTCGCCGCTCCTGGAGCCGTTGTTCTTGGCGTCGCCGGCGGTGCTGCTGGTGTCGTTCCTCCCAGTCCCAGCGCCGCCGTTGCCATCCAGCTTGGCGTGGACCTGGCGCGCCTGCTGAGCGGTGGTGTCGTTGCCGTCGGCGTCCCGGCTGGCCAAGTCGATGGAGGCGCGGTCCCTGCTGGATGCGTCGGCCTCGGCACCGGCGGCGGCGCCAGCGATGAAGTCCTGCAGCATCCGCTCGACGGCGTCGACGCCGTAGATCTCGAGGTAACTGAGGATGCAGTAGAATCCGGAGCCGTAGTGGCTGACGAGGCGCAGGCGGAGGTAGCGCGTCCACCTGGGGTCCGGCAGCACGAAGCGCTGCGCGTGCTTGGCGTTCTCGGCGGTGAACCGTCCCAGCAGCTCCCACGCCTCCGTCGGGTAGCTCATGCTGCCGTACACCTCGAAGTCCCTGAAGTTGGAGGAGTAGTGCTCCAGGTTGGCCAGCGCGACGGTGTCGACGAGCGTCTCCTCCGAGAGCTCGACGACGACGAACTTGTCGTCGGCAGAGCACGGGTTGCGCAGGTACTTGTCCTTGTCGCCGCCGAGGATGTTGGAGGCGCCCTTGGCCTCCTTGTTGTGCGCGAGCACCTTGGCGCCCTTGGACGCCGCGGCGTAGTTGTACTCGGCGCCGTTGGGCTCCAGGCGGTGCGCGGCACCACCGTCCGTGGGCCGGGGCCGGCCGGTGTCGTTCTCCGCCTTGCCCTGCATGATGCGGCTGCGGAATTCGTCGAGGCCAACGAAGGCCACCTCGGGCGACGACGCGTTGCCGCCGCCCGTGGTGGCATTGTACTGAGGCGGCAGCCCTGGGGGCGCGGGCGCGGACGAAGGCGGCGCTTCTTGGGGCGGCTGCGGCTGCGAGTAGGAGGACTGGCACGTCGTTGAGGAGTCGTTATGGTAGGGCAGCACGTAGGCCTCCAACGGCCTCACCTTGCAGTAGCTGTCGCGCCTGCCGTGGTGGTCCTCGTACAACTCTGCGGTCATCGTTCACCACGATCGGTGGATTCATGATGAGCAATGTAACATCATAAGTTTAACTTTAATCTCGCGAGAGATGGTGGACGGATCAACATGGTCAACCACGCTAGCTAGCATCCGGAGATGACGATTTGAATAGCATGAACCTGATGAAGGGTCGTCGGTCTGGCTGTGGAGGAACTGGGATCGCAGGAGGAAGAGGAGGCACCAAACGGAGAAGACGACAGAGACAGACACCTCGCGGAGGCCGCCGTCCATGGACACGGCATCGGTGACGGCGCCGGCCCCCGACCCCTTGCCGCCGCCTCCTTCTCTCCTCTTCCTGCTCATGCATGCACCGCCTTCCTATTTCCGGCGCGCGCGTGCCCAATGCGAAAGCCAATCGCGTGATCGATCGCGTCGGCGTCGCGTAAGGAGGAGGAGGACGCCGGCCGTGCGCCCCGGCCCCAGACGCGCACGCGCACACCGGCGAGCGGTGATCGGTCCCGCGTGAAATCCCAGCCAAATGCGCAAGCCCACAGGAATGGAATGCCCGGTTTGATCCAGACGCAGCAGAGTCTCGCGCGCGCGCAGCGGTGGGGGGAGACGAGAGGGGAAACACGGGCGCGCCGGGTTGAGACGACGGAGAAGGAAGAAGCAAGTGACGGAGCGCCAAGTTCGGCGGAGGACATGTCGACATGCGCATGTGCGCCGAGCCGAGCGCGCGCCGCGCCACGCAACGCCCCGGCGCTGATGGGGCGGAGTGGAGTGGGAGGCGGCGGTCGAGCGGTCGAGCCGAGGGATCGAGTGGAGTGGTGCGATGCGACGGCTTTAAGCTTCCACTTGCACTCCGGGCCGGTGGGCCATGATATGCACCGGACGAACTACTGAACTAGCCAAGGCCCAAGAGACCAGTGGAATGCGGCTTCGCACGTAGCGGGCATAGCTGCATCAAGAAAGTGGACTTAAACCGGGCCATCTGTTCGTTGGGCCAGAACGAGCGGTTTCCGGTGCTGGCTGGCTGGGCTGATTCTGCGGAACAATGATCGCCGCTTACCGGCCTGCTTTTGTGCTGCAGGAAAAAAGAAAGGTGTGTGTAGGCTTTGATCGATCTCCCTGCGTTACAATGGTGTGCGCAGTTCGGGGTGTCTAGATCCGGGACTAAAGTTGAGTACATGTCACATCGGGTATTTTGAAACTAATTAGAAAGACTAAATATGAGCCTAATTAGGCTTAATAGATTCATCTCGTAAATTAATCTCAATCTATGCAATTAGTTTTATAATTAGTCTATATTTAATACTTCAAATTAGTGTCAAACATCCGATGTAACCGGAACTAAATTTTCATAGGGGGAACCAAACACCCCCGAAGACCAAACATACGGTTTGTCTTCTAGTAATAACTAGGTTCGTGCCCGTGCGTTGCTACGGGGAATCTAAACTTTTGTACTAAAAACACACAGATCGTACGATAAGATAACAAATATTAAAATAGGATCGCACGATAATAGTTATACTTCATGTCAAAATTCGTTCATATGTAAAATCCCATGTCATACAACAAATATTAAAATAGGATAATTCTATTGAGAGCAGATGTTTGAATGTACGTGTCGTGCTGATATACATACAATTGTCCTTACAATTGTCTTGCTGATATACAGTCAATTGTCGTGCTGATATACAGGCACTGATCAGGCAGCATGTCATCAGTTCCGAATACCCAGGATCTGCCACCACTCTGCTACACTAATTCAAGAGCCTGGAAAAATTAAGAGAAGCAATATAGGAATAAGAAAAGGCATTAAAATCCTGAAATTAAGAGCCCAATAGATGAATAAACAAAACCAAAAGGTCCTTTTTTACATAGTGAACTGACTGGGATATTGTGGATAGTGCAGTCACTTATATGAGATTGCCTGACAAAGTTCCATATTGATCCCACTGTTGTCATGTATGAACTGAACAACTTAAGTTTTTGTTATTTGAGAAATTTCTAATTGTCAGTAGCACTGAGATAATTCAAATCATTGGATAAGTGAGGCGCCATTAGTAGATGGAGTTACATAAAAGAACAACTGAATGAACCCTCAAAAAGCACAAACACTTTGGCAGCATTGTGTCGACAAGCTCGAGCAGCAGCAGGTCACCCCTGCCATGAGTAAATCGTCGAAAAACACATTCCAAAGTGATGTACATACATTATATTAGGGATATCCAGTCTCCTTCAATAATGAAGTGTAAACAAACAGTGCTCTTGGATAACTGTTGAAGTGCAGTTACCTGAACCTGAAGCCGATGGTGTGCACTCTGCATCAACAAATAGAGGTGATGCAGATGGAGTGCAGTTTACTGAACCTGAAGCCGATGGTGTGCAAGCTTCAGGTATGGTTATTCAGTCTACTCCAGTATGTTGTCGGACAACCAATAGTACTTGTTTTAGTCTGTTATTTAGTCTTCTTTTCAGTTATATTTCCAGTCTGTTTTTCACTCTTCTGTGTTTTCGGACTTCCTATAGTACATTTTTTAAGTAAACTGCAATAGATTTGCTACAGTCATTTGTTAATGGTACTCTTTCAGTTTGCTGCAGTAGAGTCCTGCTCTTTTGTCGGATTAAGTTCAGTCACATGATACAAGTTTCAGTTAACTGCATGTTTCAGCCAATTGGTTTGGTACAGAGTGTCTTTTCTCTTACAACTTTCAGTTAACTGTATGTATTCATACAATTGGCTTGGTACAGTTTTCAGTGTCTTTTTTTCATACAAGTTTCAGTCAACTGTTTTCATACAATTTCATACAAGAGGAATTCGATCGATCTTCTAACGCGAGGGTCACCACAAGTTGGTCACGCTACGATCGCAGAGCAAGGAGCCAAGGACGAGAGAAAGAGAAACCCTACTAATTCCATCATTCGACCAGACCAAGTACGCAGGCCATCATGCGTGCTGGGCACACTCCCCTGTGCGAGCTGGGTCATGAACAGTAGGCCCTTGAGGATTATGAACGGTAGGGAGGGAGGGAGGGAAAACCTAGACAGGCGGCATGGCGAGGAGGAAGTAGAGGCAGCGAGGATCGTCGATCTGTTGTAGGGTCCGCGGACTGCAGGTGGCGAGATCGGGGATCTGTTGCAACGAATGTCGGAGCGGCGTCTTGATTCCGCGTGCCTGGCATGTGTCGGCGGCGGCGCAAAGCAGCGGCAGTGGAGACCTGAGCGGCGGCGGCGTCGAGACGACGGGGCAGGGCGTGGAAGGGCGCACGACGTCGTGGTGATCACAACCTTCCTTGGATGGGCACGGAGTCGCGGTGATCGTGACTTTCCTTGGAAGGGCACAGCCTGGAAGGGCAAGGTGTCGTGGTGATTGTGACTTAACTTTTTTTTAATGGCCTGACTGACGATCGTGGAGGCAAGCTGATGGTGGCTTCATTTTCTATCGCGCGGGTGAAGTGCAGTGAAAGCGGACGGGGATCGCAAGGGGTAGACCGCCGAGGTGAGGCGAAGTTTTTATCGCACCAAAACGGTGTCTTTTCTTTAATCTTTTTAGTTGTGATCACGAGAGATTAAGTTAGTGAGTTAAAGGAAAAAAGATAGCTTGGGAAGCAAAGGGTGTCGACCGACGGAAAGAAGAAAAGAGAAAAAAGAGGAGGCTGCCTCGGCAAACCAAGGGAAAGATGAGGGAGAAAGCCGGAGATCTGTGGACACGTATGATGTATCATGTATGGAGTACCTTTATTATAGACAGTATAAAGCTCGCTCGGCGATTGCGTACGTTTCGTGAACTTTACAAGGCACCCCGTACTGTACATCCTTTGGCTGGCACTGGCACGTACGTACGCCCGACGTGGCATGAGGGCACGACCGCACGAGGCTTGTCGACTCATGGGGCACCGAGGCTCCCTGGCTCAGTGTTTCGCGAGAGTCCACAACGGAGAGATGTACTGTACAGCAAGTGTATGCAGACGTTCGGTACTTGGGTCGATCGGTGCCTAGTTGATGGCAGCTGTATTCCACACTTTGTGTGAAACATCGGTGATAACAGCATTGCCAGTATTGAACTTCGTCCTGTTTGTATGGCTTAAGAGCCGTACTTTTTTTTAACAAATAGTATGCTTTATCAACCAAGAAAACGAGGCACTTGTCTGCAGTTCCTTACGTAACGTACGCGGTAAATCCCATCAGTTGTCAGCTCCTCATGCATGCATGCTAGCTAGCCTCCAAATCGATCCTGCCTCGTCTTGTGAAAGCTTTTCTGGTTTTTGGGACGAATCCAGGCTCTGTTCGTTTGAAGCCAAGAAAGACACGACTGTCTGTAACACCGATCCGTGCAGTGTATCACGCACGACCCAAGACCGCTCGGCCGTCGTTCGTGACAAACTGACGATTCGTGTAAACGTTATTTATCATATATATAATCAAAAGACATTTCTCAGCAGGCACCGGCCAGGAAGAACGCAGACCTTTAGTTTGTTAAAACCTCCGATTTCATGTGAAATGAAATTGAATTGTTTCTTTTGTAAAACTTTTATAAAATTCCTACTAGTAGTACATCTATCAGTGTTTCGAGTTGCCATCTGCAAGTAAATTTCTAATATTACACGTCTGGCTTGGATGGTGTGCTTAGAGGACACGACGTTTATACTGGTTCGGGCAGAATGTCCCTACGTCCAGTTCGTTACTGCTGCTCGTGTTACTAGCATTGAAAGTTCGTATTAGGGGTTACAAACAGGCGAGAGAGGGACAAATCTCAAGTCTCTGGTGAAAGGAGTGAACGGGTGCTGAGAGAGCTCGGTTGCTACTCAGCCATGTGTTCGGGGTTCAATGTGTTCGTGATGGTTCGATCGGATCTAGCCTGAATCGATGTGATGTGTTGCGATGCTCCTTATGGACGCCCTGCTTTCCCTTTTATAGGCCTAGGGAAAGCATGAGTTACAACGGAGGAAAAAAAACGAGAGAGACGAAGGCCTTCAGGATCGCCAGGTCCTTCTTCTTCTTCATGCGGGCCCCGCTGACTCGCGGTCCTGCCCATCACTAGCACCATGCGCAGGCGTCATATGTCGGTCATGGCGCTTCACTCCGTCGTGGTGAACTGACGCGCCCATCAGTGTTCGTATGGGGGTTAGGTAGAACACCATCGGTACGCCCGACGTTGTTCTTAATGTGAATCCTCCGGTATGACCCGTCAAGGCCACGGGTTACATCGGGGCGTGCCGATCTCTTCTCTGGTGTCAGAGCTTTGACTCAGGCCCATACGATTGGACCTGGAGTGGTGGGCGGCGGCATGGGTCTTCGTCGGGCGAGGCGGAGTCCTTCCCCACAGGTCGGGCGAGGCGGAGCCCGCGGCCTCGGGGTTA